ATACGACGCCCTACGGGGTTCACACGTCAATCGCCAGGACTTATCGCAAAATCTCGACGAAGCGTGCAAGTGTGAGTATAAGTGCGGTCGCGTTTGCGTCTCTTCATCGTGAAATATTAATAAATGTCTTTATAAAATAAATCGAAGTAAATCGAAGTATCCGATATTTTCCTTTCGCGATAAATTTTAATTCGACGCTTCCGTTTCTCGTGTCTATTCCACGTATTGTGTGATTGGAAAAAGAAGAAAGAAGTTGCTACTCGACAGGGATGCGAATCGCTGACAAGCCCGCCAATCGCTTGTTTGATATTCGTAACATGTTCATCGATCGCGGCTTTAATATTGGAATTCTACACCGATAGTAAGTTAATACATATTCCTATTTTACTGTACGTAATTAATTTCCTACAAATTAACGTAATATAGAACGAAAGTGTTTGCGATACTCGTCTATAACACGACGAAACGAGGATACGTTTCTAGAACGAACATAATTGCGTGTTTACGTCACGTTCGCCCCACCACCGATTAAACGAATATTCGTAGTAGCAGGCGTCTCCCGGTACGTTCGACCTTGTACGGAATATTTAGAATATACGTGTCTTTCGTGCGTCAAATTTTCCAGGGACAGGGTGGGGATACGCAATCCCTATGTTTATTTTTTCGTTCATTAGATTGTCGAAAACGAATAAACGCGGACGATGTTATAACCTCAGACGTTCGCGTATCTTTTTCATCAATATTCGGATAAAAATTATACTCATCGGTCGACGAAGTAGTGATAAATCGAATCGCGAATATTAAAAATATATCAAAAGTGAAATATTACTGGCGATTTTTTCACGATTATCTCGTCGAAAATCACGGACGCATTTTCCGCGTTCTTCCTGTGCCGAAAATAAATACGCGAATGTATGCAAAAGTGTATAAATACGTTTTAAAAAGTGTAATATTGAAGCGTATATCGCGTGTAAATTTACGCGATCTTAATCGAGAGCTTTTTCGCGATTTATCCGTGAGTGAATTTTTAATTTGGAAGCAAACAAGAATTGGGATCGATAGCAAATACGCAGTATTATATGGCAGTTGGTGAGTGAATTATATCATAATTTTTTTTCTAATACATTTACCAAACAAAATATGATGAAAATATGATGACGTTCGAGATGATTTCAAGCACGAGATTCAAAGAGAGATTCACTCGACATTTTTTGGATTTTCTTGTTGAAATTTTTTTTCTTAGATTTTCGGAGATTTTTTAGATTTTTTTAATACATTCAACTTTTTTATTTTGTTGTATTGTCATCTCAATAACTTGTAATCCTCCGTTTTATAAATGCTTTTATAATTTTATAATTTGATCAATAAAGCAATTTCTTGTTAATAATTAATATAAAGTAAAATATTGTTTCTAACATGATCTTAAATAATTTTCACTGTAAATAAGTAAACAGTGTCATATTCAATTTAACGATTCAAAAACATAATGTGAGAGAAATCTTGTTCGTCAAGACTATTCAAGTAAATTCACACAATAAATCCTATTTTAGTGCAACCGTAATATATATACGTGTATCAGATGTCACATATTGTAATATTTTAATATTTTAATATTTCGGATTTAAAATTTTTTTATATTTTACATATATTTAAAATTTTTTTCCTAATTTTTTGTAAGCAATTATTTCCAACTTCATTTGTAATTATAAAATTTGTATTTATAAAAAGATGTAAATGTACAAATGTTATTATACAATACTTTTGGCACTATATTTATGATTTATAATTGTGATTATATTTATGATTTATCTATATAATATAAAGATTTTATATATACTACAATCTTTTTATTTTGAGTTTTATTTTTATCTATTTCATAATTAATATTGATTTTAAACAAAGATTATGAAATTCTCTTGAATAAAAAATTAATATAATATAAAATAATTATAATATTATATAAATTAATTAAAATAATTAATATTATAATAATTAATATAATATAATCTTTAATAGAACACAATTTGAACAATTTGAATAATTTATAAGTTTATTAAATATTAAAATTCGTATATCGAGATTATTAAATGTATGTTTAAATTGCATCTATAATTTAGGACACGCTGTATTTTATATGATAAATTTATAAATTTAGGATATTAGAGCTTCAATTAAACCTCGTCATTTGAATAAAGATCGCTTGCGTCAAAGGTCTTTGAATTCGAGTAGTTCAAGGGGGATTCACCTGGGAGAAGCTTCGTATACGACAGGCCCATTAAATTTTAAATGGTTCTGGATTAAATACGGAAACGCGTTCGCCGCCCGATCCGCTGGCAAATATCGCAGATAGAAAGGTTAAAAAGAAACAGTCGAGTGTCTCCTCGAAAGTCGGTAACTTTCGGTAAAGCGGTTGCTGTCGAGCGTAATTGCTATAATCGCATTTGCCGATGCCATTGACGTATTTGCATAAACGGTGATCTTTATTCGAAGTAAGTCAATTCCCATCGACAATTTATATATCAAAATTACCTGTTTCAATACATTTAAATATTCAATTTTAAATTGGCATGTAAATTTTTTTGAAATTTAGAAAATTTGGTTCTTTATATTCTCGAAACTATATTATAATGTTCAAAATATAATAAAATAATAAAAAAATGATTTGCAGATTCTTCCAAACTCTTCTACAACATATCATTTGTATTATTCTAGAATTATTGTAGAAATTTTGAAAGAGACTGCTTTTTTCCGCGTGAACGTTAAAGATTCACGAGACTCTTTGACCATTTCGCGATCCAGAAAAGGTCGCGGCGAACCAGAGATTTTATTCATGGAAAGTATTACGTTACATATTCAAAGAAGTTGCTGACCGTTTCAAGTTTCCGCGGAGAGAACCGTCATTGCCCTTTACTCCGAAAACTCTGGAAACCGTCGTGCGCGCAAATAAATCGACTCGAAGTTGACGCAAATAAATCTTGTTCGGGAAACCCAATCGGGGAATCGGAAATTCGCGTCTCGCGGTGTATCGATGACCATTGATCCCTTGCGCGTTACGTATTATATTCCTCGTTTTGACGTTGATGTTCGCTACCTCCGCCACCGCTACTGCTGGCCGCGTTTCGCTCCGGCCCCGGCGTTATTATTCCGCAAGCCCGGTAATAACCAAATTAACGCTATACACGAATTTCCGACGCGAGGCACGTAGTTGTGCGCGGCTTACACCGACGATGGGGCGACCAGTAAGCGGCCCGAAGTTTGGTATCGCGAGCTCGCCTCGAGCGATTCAAAGCCGGGCTTTGGTCCGCACCCTCGCTCTCTTCTCTCCCTTCGTCCCTCTTCCTCCCTCTTCTTCCCTCCGTCCTCTCTCTCTCTCCCTCTCTCTCTTCGTTCTCGTGCACGCCGACACGAACGGGGTAAGCGAGTTTGAGTCAGCCGTTCAAGGAACTCGAGGAGCACTATCCACTATCCTGCACAGCTTTATATGTGCCGCACATGGACACGTGGAAATTCGTGCGCGTCCAACGGATAAGTTCCTAACGACCCTTCACCTCGGTGCCGCCATTGCCGTAGCTGGGCCGATTGCATGTGCGGCGAAGCGATCGTATTGCACGTGCAACAGCTCGTGGATTTTCGGAGCTATCGAATACGCAGACGTGTCCGTGGTGAGGTATAAAGATTGAAATTGGTAGTGAAGAAGGGACGGTATATTACGGAACCTCATTCTCCTTTCGATTCCCTCGGAACTTCTCGGAATATCGATAATGATTTATTAATATCGTATTATTCGGGCAAGTTTCGTAATACTGTCTTCTCTTCTACAATTTCGGTGAACTTTAGGTTCGATACTGTAAACATGGATCGATACGAGCTGTTGCATTGTAGCTATTGTAGCGTTTCGTTTATACGCGAGTGAAAAGGCAAGGGTCATTATTGTGGTGTAACTGGTCTGTATTTTGAGGATTTACGTCGGTTTTAATCGGTGGCTGTGATTGTTTATTCGTATGATTACCGCGTCGAATTTTTGATTATGAATACAAAATGGCAAATATCAAACTTCATTAACGCTCCATTTTCTTTTTTAATCAGTCAAGTAATTTGCTGTCAGATGGGGTGAGAAAACTGCACATTCACGACGTGCTGTAATGAACAATTGATTGCGTCTGCTTTTGGCAGTTAGATGAAGTGATTTCAACATTAAAGTCGAAGTGAAGTTAAAAGTTTATACTCCAATTTTATTACGTTAATGATAATTTCATTTACGAGAGTTTTCCATCTCGTTTGATAGCATTCTTCTTATTCTAAGAAGAATACTGACAATTTCCGAGTTTTGCTGCATTATATCTTATAATGAACGATTCTTTCATTTATTTAAAATCTGAGATCTCTCTCTTGAGATTCTAATCATTTTAATAATACTTTATTGAAAAAGAAAAACAAATTAAATTTATTTTTTAACAATATTTTATATGTTTTTAATTCTTTCGTAAATATTTTATATGTTTAATTTTATAATTTTTGATAAAATCACGATTTTTATCCCAACAAGAATGTAGCATATGAGTGAGTTATCTGTATGTGTGTTTTTTATTTTCAATATTTAAAAAAAAATTGTGATATTAATGAAAATATATTATTTTACGTAATTATAAACTAATAACTCCCTTTCACGTTTCGAGTCTCTCTCTTTCTCCCTCTCTTTCTCTCTCTTTCAAAATGTATGATATAAAATATATAAAATATTAAAAAATATAATTTTTAATAACGCATGTTTTTATATGTTATTACAAGCAGAAAAATATAATTAGATATGAAAGATATATATCAATAATGAAAAAAAATTCTAATATTTTAATACATTAAATTCAATAAATTCAACAAATAATTTTGTGCGATACAAACCGATGACTACATTATTTCATGGCTTGTTCGACATATCAAGTTTATTCTCGACATTTTTTTTATTCTTTCTCTAACGAAAGGACGGCTATTTTTGGTTGCAGAGCTCAACTCGACGTCGCCATCAACGAGCGAACTTGGCGACCTCGCCGACGAGGCCGAGAGCGATGAGACAGACAATGCGGACAATGCGGATGATGAGGATGCGGTCGAGGACATCCTTTATATGCGCGGTGCCACCTTTACGATACATCTGGATGCCCCAGCCGAGAATTCTACCGCGGACGCGACGAAGATAAACGAGGGGAACGGCGTGGATCGGATCGAGCTGCGCGCCACGTCTCAGGTAACATTACTGCCATATTTCCTGGGTTAGCTTGTCGTATTGCTGCATAAGTGTTTGTACGTTGTTCCACGATCATTTGTTAGGTAGGATTCCGGTGAAAAATCTAGGATTTTTGATGTACAATAAAAAATACAAAAAGGCGACATATCGGATAAGGAAAGCGCTTATTCCACGTCTTTGAATGTCGCAATAATTCTTTTTAGTAATCCTTGAACGGACACAAGTATAGATTTTTTTTCTGCAGAATATAATACTGTTTTAATTGCTTCTCGTGTTTATTTTGTTGAAATTTGAAATGTTCTTGGAATAAAAGAATACATTTAAATGTGTACGAAATTATTTTTTTTTTATCACGAAGATTTATAAAGAACGTCGCAATATTTGTATATTTTTTGGAACTATCCGCAAAGTCAGTTGTCAAAAAATTTTAATTCTATATATGTACATATTTTAAAATACATAAAATCTTAAGGATTCTATTTAATTTAAAATATAAAGCATTTGTTTAAAATGTCTTAAAAATTTTCTTAAAAGTTTTCCTTGACTTTTGAACATAAAAATATTCCCTTGAGTTTTGAACATAAAAATTTGTTAAAAAGAATTTCATTTTTTGCATTTATCAAAAATTTCAGAAAAATTAAGTTTATTAAAATTTTCTTTTTTTTAATTGAGTATGTAAGTATATTTTTTAAATTATTTCTTTTCTATTTAATTTTATGTATAAAGAAATTAGTTTTATATAAAATGATTAAAAATAATATTCTGACAAATATCTTCATACGAAATGAAAAAATAAAAAAAATACTAGAGACAAAATATACATGTAAATGTTTATATTCAATTAAATACATTTTTATTTTTATTTTTGTTGTTTTTAGAAATGCAAAATAAAGTTCTGTAACAATTATTTTTGCGTGTGAAACACAAGAGAGAAACGAGAATCAACAAATATTTTAGCATATGTTTTAAGCGCAATTGTTGGAAACGACAAAAATGCTTATATAAGCTTTAAGATTGTATGTGATAAATACGAATTAAAATTCAGTTTCAACATTTATTGATTCAACACAAATGCTTGATATCATGCATTAGATTAATCAATATTACAAGAAATTACTCTATAAATTTAATTGATTGATATGTCGACATTCAGTCATATTTATACCAAATAGAGAAAATCGATCGAGCGTCGTCTTTAGGTTAAGCAGTCCAGAATAGAACATTCCGTAAAGGGACGTAAATGGATATGCTCGTCTATGTGCGAGGTATAGAAATAGCGATTATGTGAAATCGAGCGAAACTGGAATGTTCTCAATCAAGGAACCTTCTCTTGAACTGGAATTAATATTCATGATATAATCGAAGACGTAAAGTTTTGTTTAATGCGATAAAGAATTTGATCGAATTGTTGATGACATCGAAACTTTGCACTTTCCTTCGCCTGCACAATGATATTATATATTCTCATTTTTAAATATTAGCATCCGTTGCCATATGCAATATTGTTAATTAAAATTGAAATTAAAAGCAAAAAAGTAAATTAAAAGTAAAGTAGTAATGAGGGGGAATATTATTATAAGTTTATACCACACATGATTATTAAATAATGATTAAATTATTGTAAATGAATATATTAACATTGTGATTACAGGGAATATCATTAAAATATAATAAAATTAAATTAATACGTAAATTCACATCAAATTAATGCGCTAATCGACAAAATATGAATTTGAGCTTTTTGCTGATCTTTCTTTGCAAACGTGAATAAAATTTAATATTTTGCGACATTATTAAATATAAGACTTGGAAGCTCTAACGGCCAATTTTTATTCAAAAGCCTTCTCTAAATAAAAAAAACATGAGTCGTGCAACAGGTACTTTATGTTCGTTGTAGGTTTCTTAATATATAGCAGGCTATCTCATTATTTTTGAAAATTTCTTGCCCCTGAATCGACAACAGCGAGCGAAAGGATTAAGAAATCATGAAGCGAATGTCGAAGAGCGAGTCAACTCATAAATAATATTCGTCCCTGTTTGGCTCTTTACTACACGTTCTTCACATTCTATGTTTACGTTGTATCCTAAACTGCGCGAAAAAGTAGATGCAAAAATGTTTCTAATTTATTTTTTATTTAAATGTATCAATTTTATTAATTTGCAACTATTCTTATTTAAATTAAATATGAATATGATATTTATTTTTCATAGGTATATAAGTTGATATATAATCAATTATAAATCTAATACTATATTGAATATGATACTAAAATATTTTTCATGACTTACTAGTTGAGAAGTGTTATATTTAACACAGTTTTCCATGATATCCGTTAAATATACAATTTAGAAATAAACAAGTGAAAAATATTTCAGCGTTAATTTCTAAAAAAGAAAGAGAAAGAAAACTTTGTATATTTTTCAAAAACATTGAATTTATTTATAAAAAAATGTTTCAAATTTAATAATTAAATTTATAATTTAATTATTATTGAACAAATCTTGTTGATTAGTTGAGTTTAAAAAGCTATAAGCTAATGGAAGGAGATCAGTTTCTATACACATTTTACAATTTTGTATTGTATTGTAATTTTGTATACACATTTTACAATACAAAATTGTATTGTAAAATGTGTATAGAAACTGTTCTCCTTCCATTAGCTTATAGCTTTTTAAACTCAAAATAGCTTTTCAATTTCAATGCAATCCAATATGAGACATGTAATATTTCTTCCTTCTGTGATTATTTAGGGTCCAAATCTGGAGCAAAAACTGCCATCCACGATGGAAAGCATCGTGAGTACCGAGCCAGCGTGTTCCTTGGACTGCGGACCAGCTGGAAACTGTTATATCGAACAATCTCACGCGGATGAAGTTGATGTAATTGAGGATGACGAGGACGGAATCGTGGATCTGGAGGGTAATACCGTGAATCTTAGACGAAAGCAAGGAACGTTCAGACAGAGATGCCAGTGTCCTCTTGGAAGGGGTGGTGATCGTTGTCAGCTCGGTGAGTAATTTTGCCAATTTTCCTGTACATTCACTGATGTAACATACAAGAATTTTCTTTTCAAACTTGAACGACAAATCTAGTTTTAACGTTTCGTATGCAGTACTCTTGGATTACTTCATATAAAAAGAAAAAGAGAAAAATATCTGAGCCACTGATTTTATCGTAACTTTGTTTCGAAACTCATTCTCTCAGAAAGCGATATTTCCATAAAAGAGAGCACAGAGAATAATGTTATCACAGATATCGCGCACAATCTTTCATCCGTCGTTTCCCTGAACAACGTTAGAATGAAGGAAGCATTCGGAAGCGCGAAGTTAAACTCGATAAACAAGCGAGATCGACGTGAAACGTCGACGAGTGATTTTCCCCGCGAAAGGTAAACTCACGAGCAAGAGGAGGCGGCGTAGATCGAAGAATTGAAAACTTGCTCATCATCGGTCGTCCCGCTTTGTTCTGCTCTGTTCCACGCGAGAAACTTACGGCATCCAAGTCGAAACAGTACTGTGTTCTCGTTCCGGGGGCTTCGCGCATTCGACGCGATCGTATCTGTTTGCACCTGGCCGCTTTACGGAAACTCCCAGGAAACTCGACGGGACGCGCTCTCGATAATCCCGAACTTTTAACCCTTTGAGGTGTGGTATGCTCGCGCGCCCGCGCGCAAACGCGGTCCGACGAATAACGTTAAACGCCCCCGCCAAAGATCTCTACGGAAGATCGTCGTCAAACAGATAATGTAAACCGCCGATGGCATCTACATGAGTAAGAGAGACATATCGAGTCAACGTATATTAGACATTTTGAATTATGAATATTAAAACGATGAAAATTATATGTGATTGTTTCTTGCAATTTGCATAGATTATGTTCCATTAACGAAATCCATCTCGCGAATCGTTAAAGTTGATAAAATGTAGTACAAACACCTTTGCGCTATCAGTTTGACGTATCATATAGAAGCGTGGAATAATTAAAATTCAGCCGCTATATAAAATGGTTCAAAGTGTAGAAGAGATAACGGTCGAGTTGTGGTAACTGAATCTCTGGCTTTTGATGAATTCGTTTCATCAAATTTCAAAAATATAAATTGCGAAAATCATTATTTTCCCCCTTTCTATTATATTGTAATTTAATATGGTTGACATTACGATGATATTTCGGATTATGATGACCTTCTCTCAAATCGATGCTTACGATGGCTTCCAATACTTGTGATCTCCAAGCAATCAAATACGAATATTTATTTGAAGGATTAATACACAATTCAGGATTATATCGAGTTACGCTAGACTAGTTGAACCAATAGTATTCACCGATTATTTAGGACGCGAACATATATTTATAATTGTATAGATATTTGTATTCACATATTGACACTTTGCTTGCGGACAACGGAAAATTTACGCATGAAAATTGATACATGGCATGAGAATATTGAATAACTAAATTTCAATATTAAAAATTTCGTCAAAATATTGGACAACCGAATTTTAATTTCAAAAATCTCGGAACTTTCGGACCAGTGCGCGATAAATAAAAGTTGTGTACAACCGCGAAGAACGAATAAAATAGATATTTTCTTCGTTTTATTATATCGATCTTTGTTTCTATCAACTAACTCTATGAGCGTCTGGAATGTGAAACGGATTAAGCTACTCAATATTCGGTTTAATCTTGCAGAGTGGTTTATATTGCATCATAGAATTGCGTAGGATTAAGCGGTAGAAAAATTGCACGAACAGATCGATGGTTCACAGTTTGAAGTATGTTTTACGCCTACCGATTCGAGTGTTTTATCGTACCGTTATATGATACAGGAATTACGATATGGGAAATATTTATCTAGTTCTCACGAGTTATGCAAAAAATCAAAATGCTATAAGATGTTTTTCAGTTTAATGGTTTTCGATTAAATCCAATTTTTTTATTATCTTTCTATACATCTTTTATCGTAATAATAAAAAAAATGCTACAAAATATATTTGAAATATTTTTTTTTAAAATAAATCGTATGAAATGAATAAATATACACCTAGGTAAATGTGTATACTTATTGTACGGTGTGTATTTCTTATTTATCGGAGTAAAAATTTCGAGAAGTAACGTAGAAATATTATATCATTTGTATTTTTGAAACTGATTTACTATTATGAATAGCAGGAATTGCAGAAAATTTTGTGAAAATATATAAATGTTAAGAAATACGATATTGTAATCCTGTACACGGTTCTGCGACTGTGTTATTATATTGATGCCTGCTCCGAGAACGATGATGCACATTCTTCAAAACAGAAAGCAAATGCTTTGTAGCAAAAAAGCGAAAGATTATTCATACGCAACGTCGAATATCCTTTCGCTTTATGTGTTTACTTTATGCTTTTGCATTTGTTGAAATTGTTTGTTTCGTTTTTATTTACATGAATCAACAACGCTTTTATACATAAATCTATCATTGTATATGCTATAAGCAGAACTAAATATTCAATCGGTACATCTGCAGCAAATGTTAAACAATATAACAATAATATTATAATGTAATAATAATAATAAAAGAATAGATTTAATTATCAACAGTAATAATCAAAGATTTAATTAACAAAATAGTTCATTGTACATATATATATATATATATATATATATATATATATATATACATATGTATAAACAAGTAATAGCATAATAGTTTACAATTTTAACGTTCTGCTTACATAATTAATGTATAAATAAATAAATATAAAGTTCTATATATAAAATAAATAAATATATAAATATATGAAATAAATAAATAAATACATAAAATAAATAAATATATAAATATATAAAATATATAAAAAATATATGAATATATAAAATATATAAATATATAAATATATAAATATATAAATTAATTTACGCTTTATATTTTGAACAGTATCGATAGCTATACACAATATTATTTAAACGGAAAAATAATTAACAGGAATTATTGCACAGAATTATTACATATTTATTCTGCGCAATATAATGATATAATGTAACATTGTAATATTAATTTTTCATGATAAAGCGAACATGATGAAACTTTAACGACTTACGCGGCTGATTGCGACGTTCGCGTTGTGTTCTGCATGTTACGTGAGACAAGCCTTGTTTTATATTGACCCAGTACAGGATTATTCGCCACCTTGTTATTCGACGTGGGCAAATTAAGCCTCGCTGAGCGGCTTGGAGTAAAACCACGAGGTGGGCGTTGCCTGCCAGTTAATTCCGCTTGCGAAGGTTTAAAGCAAACGCGACCTGCAAACCGAGTCGTCCTCGTTGATTCCCCGGGCACAAGATCTAACGAGCTTAATTTATTTTACCAGCGACGCACACTGCATCATCTTCCCTCTTTCTCTTTCTATCCCTCCTCCCCCCCCTCTCTCTCCCTCTGTCACTTTTTCCGTTTCCATTCGCGTTTACACATATAAATATTTATCTTTTCAAACACGCGAAGTACTTTCGTTTTCAACCCGAAATCCTAGCCGCGAATATTTACACGTTTAACCGAAAAATATTGACTATCTTAAGTAAAAAGAGACGAATAGGTGTAATACGAATATATAAAATGCATACAACAGGTATAAATAAACTGACTCCAGAATACGTCTGTCATAAATCTGAATTAATTGTAATCAATTATTATAAACGCGAAACGAGTCTTTTATCCATTTCTGTTTTGAATATTAGAATGAAATCATAAATAGCAAGAATGAAAATAATGGAAAAATAATTACGCTTTTAAATAACGCGTGGAATAAATCATACCTCGTGGAATCAAGATCGGCAAAACAATAGCCTTGGAACAAATGCTTAATAGTGATAAATATCGCATGCTATTCGCAAATTAATGCGAAAGCGGGAGATAAAGCGTAAAAAGATAAGCAGCAATTCCATCCCTTTCCCTTTCCCTTCTGTTTAAACGCGAAAATAGTATCTCGGACGGCTTAGCTCGGAAACAAAAATTTACTAGCAGCTGCTGGTGGCTGTAACTTTTCAGGCTGCTACATTTTAATAGTGATACATTATCCGGACTTTTAATATTACAAAGTGCAGCTCGGTAATTCCGCATCATCCGTCCGCCATTGCGAGGTGCGAGAGACGGCGGCTTTGCCGTGATTTATGTCACGGTTGAAGCTGCGCGCGCGGCGCGCGATGAGCGGTAGAATTATTTTTTCGCAGCTGCCGCTTTTCCCATCTCTCTTCCTCGTTACAACCGGTCATAAATCAAGACAACTTTCCGTGTCGTTTCAACCAAAATCGCGAAATTCGCTTGCCGGACAATAGCATCGTCACGTATTTTTATAATAGTTGAACGCGGATATATAGAGCACATCTAAAAGACGGCAAACATTAATTATTTCGCTTGCAAATGTCAAACAGTCACGATTAACTGTATAAATTAAATCGAAATTTCATATTTTACTAACAAATTCCATAATACATTATACACGCATATACTTTCTTTTCTGTAAAACTTTTCTATCAAAAATTTACGAAAGCTATAGAAGAAAGAAAAGGAGGGAGGAAGAGATGGAGAAAGAGTTCGCACTTGCGAGCTCTCTTCAAAAGTGGAAACTGCAGAGATTTAGATTTATTATTTGAAAATCAGACTCAGTATCTCGATATTATCTTGCTGCGCGCTCTCAGAAATATTCGTAGAGTACTATCGAGGAAAGTGCCGACCCAAAGAAGTGGCAATCATCGTTTCTTTCAACTCGTATAGGAGCAATTGTCGGACAATTGTCGACCATTTCGCACATCGTGGTTCCATTCTACACAGTTACGATGATATTCAGTCACCAGAGAACCCGGTCGGCCGGTCGTTCGGTTGAAACCTGGCGAAATTGGCGCGCCGCCAAAATGATGCTCCTCACGCTAGATTAAGCAGATTAACCGCGCTCGTCTCCAGTGGGCATTGTAACGTCGAGAGAAAGATTCCGGCCCAAATGTCGTTAAATTCCTGCTGTTTGCGGATAAAT